CATTTCAAAATCACAGGTTAAAAAACTCTAAGTATAATTTACATTGCAATAGAATAGAATAGAATCAAATACAATACTGACACGGAAAACAGTTTCTAATTTTTCAGAGATTCTAAGCAAAAGTTTTTAATGATTAATAAAATAAAAGTAATTTATTAGAAACGAAAATGCTAAAAAAAATGATGCAATTAAATTGTATTTTTCCAAAGAAATTTTAACAAATCTACTTTAATTTATAATTTATTTATTTCATTATCTCTTGTTTTGTTTATATACAGTCATGGTATATACTCAGCATAGTGCTAATTTTTCTAGAATTATGTCTAGATTTTTATTTTGAAGGCCAACATCCGTATATCCAATATACGTTTTCAATATATATTTACTTTCAATTTGTCTATTTTAGTCTTTGATGTAATTATAAAGGACCGGTGATGTCTGTGTTTATATTACTAAAGAAAAATATATTTTTATATAATTTATTTATATTTATAATATTTATAAATGCATGCAAAATTATTTTTTAAGTACAGAAGTAAGGTCCATATAGACACAACAGCGCGGAAAGTAGAAAGATAGCTGACGAACTCGCCAAGATAAATACGGAATCACAACTTAACAATTAGATCGAGAGATGCCAAAGTCTTCAAATCTATTAGTTACTTAAAACAGTAACAACTCTTTCAAAACACTCACTAATTTTGTACTTGTTCCTTTTCTTGAAAGAACTGCAGATTAACCAATTTTTAGCAAACTTCTTCTACCTTGATCAAAGCTAGGTTCAATCATTTATTACCACCTACCCTCACCTCTTTATCTTATCCAATTTCTTTACACAATATCTTTCTGTTTCTTTTGAATAAGGCTTGTCATCCTTATATATACTTGCTTACCAAGTTCCTATGATGTAGAATAACAATAACAACAAAACAATAGAGATTGGTTTGCATATTTTCTGCCCAGCATTAACCCACAGAATAGACTTGTCTAAATACGACAACTGCAGGAAATAGAAATAAGGAATATTTTGACGTGATTGAGTGTTACAATATAGAGAGAACAGCCAAACAAACCGTCACAATCTCTTAATTCGCAAAGAAGTCATACATTTCCTGTTAAATAGACAGAGAATTAAATCTTTGCAATAGTAATGGAGCAATATTTAGATTGAAGTGGCACCACTGTGCACCAAAGCTCACTTAAACAGAAATAATGATCTTCTGTCAAACCTTAATAATTACCTTAAAGTTAGAAATCTTAAACAACTAGTGCACGAATGGCCGCCTTTCAAGACGGCGCAAATTTCCATACAAGTATAAGGGAATCTACGAGACTTGGCTATGTTCTTAATTTTAAAAGCAGCAGTACCAGATTAGTTAAAAAAGGGACCTCAAGATTACAAATAAGGTGGATTACACTTTTGATTCTCATCCCAAGAGCACAACCCCAACATAAACCATTAGAAAATACACTAAGTCTTATTGCATGTATTCCTTATATGCAGTGACCTATTAGCACTGTTAGCGTAGGCTGAATTGGGCCGCTGACTAGTATGAATTTTTTCTAATTTGAACTATGGGAGACTTGGGATCTGACAAGAATTTTCATCTACCCAGCTTTTCCTAGCCAACGCTTAAGGCTTTAATGCAATTGGATTTTCTTGGGAACTTGAAAATTTGCACATTTGGTCATACTTATGGCTTAATAGGACTACAATTTTATAAACCACATTATGGTTGATATGTATACGGTCTTAGATGTCTGGTGTGCCGTCTTGATGCGAATTCTTTTAACCTGCTCTATTTAGCAGTAACCTTAAAAATATGTTTGTGATCCAGACCATTGTCTCTATTAATTTCTCTAAATTTTATCTTTTTTATTATAAAATCTGCTCTATTTAGCAGTGTCTTTCAAAATATAATTGTGACCCAGACCATTGTCTTTATTAATTTCTCTAGATTTTATCTCTTGTTGACTATATTGAGCTACGAAACGCAATATGTGACCCAGAAAATTCTGTTTTTTATTGACGATAAAAACATAATTTAATACTGTAAAAATTTTAATACGTACTTTTTCTATATAAAACCAATTATACTTTCTGAGAAAAATGCTATTAAAAAATGATAAGAAATTTTTAATTTTAAAGTAGACAAAATATGTTGTCAAGCTGTCTGAATAAACAAATTTTAACACAACAAAAAATGCATATTTCACTGTTAATAGTTGTTATGTCGGAAAATCCAAAAATAAATCAAATGACTACCAACAGCAGCATCTAAAGGATTTAAGCTAAAAATTTATAGTCAGCGCCCGAGAAAAGCCAGAGCGCTGCCACATGAGCGAAGTTCACATGCCTCGCACAACAAACAGAAGATGACTCAATACCTGCAGCAATGCGCGTAATAATATATGTGCACACGTTATTTAACAAAAAACAAAACAAAAAAAAAAGAAAATAAAAAAAAAGAAACAAATGATAAAATAAATGATAAGAATATAAAAGTTAAACTAACCTCTTTCTCGGTTGAAAATTGCTTCTTAGAGTTTTCCACACAAAACTCTTCACAGCTTCCTCCTGCTCAATTGGCACACAATATTTTCCTACGGTTATTATTTGTGCACTGTTTGTATCGCTTCTTGCGGTTTAATTGGTAAAATTCAAATTTAATTACAAAACGTGAATATGTAAAATATTATATAATTTTCGATATTGTGGTTAACTTTTTACACTTTGCATTAATGAAAGTAATAATTTTTATTTATTTGTTTATTTTCTTCTTGTTTGAATACTGCAATATTTTGGCCGTTTTTATTTTTTTCTATCTATTTTTGTACTTAATTGGTACCTTTTATGTTTACTTGGTCACGTTTCCTTTGTTAAACAAACTTCTTTAATTGACTGATGTGTAGTTTAAGTTTTATTTTGCCGCGTTTAATACATTGTTTATTTGTTTTTGTTATTATGAACGCAGGATATTTAAATCGAAAAGTTATCCTTTTATTAAAATATATATCAAATTATGTTTTTGTGTATATATTTATTTTCTCGATAAGCCACTTCAGAGACAGCTGTTTTGATAAATAGGCAAAAAGTCAAAATATGCACGAAACTCACTCAATACTTTCTTTTTGCAATTATTTATTTGTATTCAACTTTATTTATTTCATTAATTGTATGATATAGATGAAATTTATTAATATTTTTGTTATTTTGGTTACTTCAAAATATTATTTTACCGAAAAACAACCGACTTTTACTAAATCTGGAAACAGAGTGAGCTGTGTAGGAAAAGCAATGACTGAAAAATCCACGAAAGCAGAGTAGCAAACAGTCAGCTGTGTTTTGTTGTGACTTCTTTAAGGTCATTGTACAGAAAATATTAGTTTGAAAATGAATTCTTTATGCGCCAGATGGCGTTCAAAACTTTTAACCAACTGTAAACTAATTTGACATATTAAAACATACAAAATTTAATGGATGTTATAATTAACACATTAATACAATTAGAGTTAAAATAAAGTTAATACAAATCATAATTTAAATTTACAAATATGATTATAAATAAATATCAAGTTTAATGAGAAGTGCATTAATTAATAATTAAATAATTGAATTTAGGTACAATTTGAAATGTCAAATTTTGTGCTTAATCCATTGACTATTTTAAATTAAGTTTAGTTATTTTTAAATTAAACCAAGTTTAGGTTAGGTTAGAGTGTTCTGATACTACAGATTTGCACTGTTTCTACACAAGCTAAAAGAATAATGCTAAAATGTACAATTTCTTTTTTCAGGTGAAAGTGAACTAATCTGACAAGTCTATGAACTTATCTTTAGTCCGGACTCTTACAAGATAATAGCACTGTTACGTCGGTAAGAAAAAAATTAAATCATGGGAGTATAATGTTACCGCTCCAACTACTAGAGTAGTAACAAATTATTATTAATTGAATTACGATTAAACTACAGCAGCTGACGACTGTATTCCATATAGTTGCTATACTATAGCACTTTACTTACAATTTGGTGCGATGTTGCATATCACAGCAACGTGATATGTGGCATATTCGCAGTACTATATATATTAAACACTGTAAAATTAATATTGATTCTGAATAAATTCTGGGGAGTTTTGTAAAGAACAATAATGAGATATTTGACTTAACTAACATAGCTCTAAAACCATATCATTTAATGTGTTGTAAAAATTTGATTCGTTTTTACAGAATTTGTTTAATAATAACTGAGTTTTTTTAACTGAGTTTTTTCAAAAGATGTAACTGAACGAAAAGATGTGGTTACGTTTCATGCCGTTATGGGACATATCTGAAATAATTCAATCTTCTGACCGCAATCTTCAGAGTAAGACTTTTTTCTGAGATTTAACTCTATTTGTTATTGCTCTCCACCATGTAGTTTACGATTAGACAGATTTATACAATCTAACCTATTTCAGGCCGTGTGCGAGTTCGAGTAAACTGATAGTAAATTGAAGCAAATAATAAATTATGTCGATTTGGCAGCGAATGTTGGTATTTCGAGTATTGTAATTTAGATAAAAATTAGGTAATTTAGGTATTATCATTGTGAAAATTTTATAAGATGTTTAATATATATGTATAAATTTGAAAACTTTTAATCAAAAATAATAAATAAGTACAATAAATAGACAAATAAATATTTACATAAGTACAGTGCAAAAAATCCTTAGAAAATTTAAATTTATTTTATTTCAATTTATTCGAACTAACACATGCCATAAAAAAGATATCTTATGTATTTTCCTTTAACTAAATATATATGTAGCAATATGTGCTATGTTTCGTTAGTTTTTAGGGTAAACTTAATATAAAATTTTGTAAATTTATATATCCACTGAGATATAAAATTTAATATTAATGTTATGTAAATGTTATATTAATATTGATATTAGAAAATTTACGAACAAACCATTCGCACTTTAAATTATTTCGAACATATCTGTCATCATATTCGAATATATTTGACGTTTGCGTCGGCGATTTGTGATTTGCAAAAATTTGGTTTGGTTGGTTCATCTCCATAAAGTAGAAAATTTCTTTTAAAAAGTATTAAATAATTTCGTCAAATAATGTCTTCAGGCACTGCAAACGTAACTGCTTACCTAGCAGCACAAAAGAAAACGGCAAATAAGGATTTGGCAGCAGAATGGACTACAATAGAAGAATTGTACAATGAGAAGTACGAGAATATCAAGAAGCATATTAAATTTATTAATATTAATATATATATGTTATTCAAATTTAGATTGTGGAATGAGTTGACTATTAAATTAAATGGGTTTGTACATAATCCAACGCTACAGGATGAAGACACGTTAATGCAATTGTACACTAATTTCATATCAACCTTCGAAACAAAGTAAGTATTAGAGTTGGCTTGGCGCTACATAAACGAGGTTATGTTTTCTATGACTGTTTTGAAAATTATTTTTGCAGAATAAATCCTTATGGTTTGGTACGCATTCTCGAGGTATTTGTTGATCATATTTCAGATAAGACTCAGGCAGTAGAATTTCTTGAAAAGTTAAAGGAGAAAGTGAAAATTTGCGATGAAGCTGTGCTTTATATACAGGTTTGAGTGATAGTAATCTTCTCTCAGTAACAATATAATAATATAAAAATGTTAATTTTGCAGGTTATGCAAGGCAATATTTACCTTACCAATTTGAACGATTTAACTGCCACCAAGAAAATAATTGAAGAACTGCGTGATATACTTGAAGAAGCTGGTAATGTCACACCTGTGCATGGCAAATACTTTATGCTCGCATCGCAGTATTATCGTCGCGTTGGCAAACACAGTGATTATTACCGTTGTGGACTGCAATTCTTAGGTTGTTCTATGAATGACTACCCAAAAGATCAATGGCCACAACAAGCATTTTTCCTTGGTTTAGCGGCACTATTGGGCGATGGCATTTATAATATTGGCGAATTGGTAAAATATTTTATTTTACTAATTGCTTTCATAAATTTTCTTATAAATCATACTTTATTTTAGCTAGCACATCCCATATTAACTTCATTGAAGGGTACTGAAAATGAATGGTTAGTTGAATTATTGAATGCATTTAATTCCGGCGACATAAAAAAGTAAATATGAAATAATATCAATACACAATGTTAGATGAAAAGTCTTGTCTCTTTACTTAAAGAAGATTAATAAATAGTGATTATACATAAAATATTTTAACTATTTGACTCAATACTTTCTATCTAACATGCATATGTTTTAATCTCGTTAAACTTATATTGAAATATTTTTTAGATTTAATGACATGAAAAAAATTTGGTCTAAAATTCCGGATTTAGCTGCTCAAGAAATTAAATTGCGTCAAAAAATCTCCCTGCTTTGCCTAATGGAAATGACTTTCAAACGCAAAGCTACTGAGCGTTCAATCAAGTTTGAAGATATTGCTGCAGAAACAAATTTACAGCTGAGCGATATTGAATTGCTTATTATGAAAGCATTAGCACAAAATTTAGTGCGTGGCGAAATTGATCAGGTTGCCGGTGTAGTTAATATGTCTTGGGTGAGTATAGTAATTATTTATATTTACTATAATTATTGATAGCTTTGTATTTTTATTTTCTTATTCAACCCTGATGCCATACCATTGATACCTTTGCAAGACTGTATCTGTTGTTAAGGATGTCAACTTTCCAAATTTTGAAAAAGTTTTTTGTAGATATCATTAATCTACATATTATTAGCGATTTATAGTAAACAGTTCTCACATATATAATATTAGTAATATATAGATAGATAGGTTGGAGTGCTATGCCAGTCTCATAGAATGCCTTCCTATTACACAGTGTCCCGTCAGCACAGATACCGTGGTGCTGAGCAGGTTTTGTCTTAGTTGAAGTAGCTGACTAGTTCTTTTCTTGTCTAAATTAGACCAAGTCAACCTAGAAATCTGACATTGAGGTTCGTCAGCCCAGTATTGCTTGGCTATGCTCAGGTATTTTTGTTTAATGGGCAGTTTAATTGTAGCAAGTGGAACGCCTATATCTGAGAAGTTAATGTTAGGGGGAAGAACGCCTGCCTTGGCGAGGTCGTCTGGTTCTGTATAGTTAAAAGAGATGTACGTTTATGATAGCGGTTTTTTCGGAGCTGTTTTGTTGTTGTTACTAACTTTAAAACTGCTTTGCTACTTTAAATCTGATTTTGTTAGGTCTTTATTTTCAAGTTCTATATAATGTTTTTGAACTAAATTTTAATTTCAATAAAGATATATTGTATTAAAATTTTTTATTATATTTGTTTTTTATCAGGTTCAACCTCGTGTACTGGATCGCAAGCAAATCGTTTCAATGGCAAAAACAGTTGACGATTGGATGGCATCCATCACTTCAATGGAGAAACTCATGGAAAGTCGTGCTGCTGAAATTCTCACCACATAGTTCACTAAGTTTTAAGTTTATTTTTTTTTACAATGTTTCGCTACAACTGTTTCATCAAATTAATAAAAATACAAATATTTATGTAAACATATTTTACAAATAATCTTTAATAATCCATGTGAATTCCAAATATTGTATAAAGAAACAAGAATAGTTTGGTTTTATATGTTTGTTTATTGGTTGTGATTCATTTGGAGTATTTATGTATAATTTTGTTAGCATTTTTTGAACGAATATCAAATTCTATAAAATAGTCTTATATATTCTAATTGTTACTTATCGAATAATAGTATCACTTTCAATTTATTAGTACTCTTAGAATAATTTAAGTTATAATTTTCATAAAAATAGTTTCATTGTTTTTCTGACTAATTCGAAACATACAATTCTAAATCTAAAGAGATATTAAACTAAAATTTGGTATGAATATTTTCGTAAGAAATAGATGACAATAACTTATAGGTATATATATTTAGTAGAGACTGCAAAAGGCGCTGAGTGGTTAGTACGAACTGCGTTTCTTAAAAATATTTAAACAACGCAGTTTGCAATTAGTTATGTTAAAAGGACATTGATTGAACTGAAGATAGTTGTCTTATATTTTTATAAAAGTCCTTGGAAAATTATCATTAAGCTATATAACTCAAACTGCGTTAATTGTTTGTTAATATTTAAGCAATGAGGGTTTTGTTCAGCGAATCCGTTTGTAAATTTCGTGGATACTTGAAGTTAGATCAGAATTCGTTTGAAAAACAGCCAATATTGCAGAATTCCAATTTTCTCAAATATTGTTATTCAGTAAAACGTCTTATGGTTAGTTGGCTATGATTATTATGTCGACTCAAATGATGATAGAGGTTCGATACTTTAAGGAGAATTGTTGCATATATTTAACGTATGGTACATATGGACTTCTATTCTTAAAAAAATATAAAATTGTGCGTTCGGTTATTAGCTACCTGGTTCAGGATACAATCCATCATAGGTCTTATAAAAGTAAAACGTGAATCCAATGGCATTGTTTATACTTCCAATAAGATTTAAGCTCAATAATTCTAGACGTAAATTATTATTCCACGTTAATTGCAAAGAATTCACAACAATTCTTTGCAATTAACTATAATTGCCGCCTCAATGATAATACGAACTATGGTTTTTTATATATTTAAAACAACTTAAAGACTTCAGCTGCTCCTAATATGATGGAAATTCTGATGGACAACTGAAGTGATACCGAAGAGGTCTACATAGTGTGATCATTTCATTAAATATTTAAGCAACGAAGTTTACGTTCAACTATGCGTGATGTGAATTCGAATGATGGTGGACGTCTGATATTCTCATGTGAGTCTCTGCGTATACGCTCTGGATTTGCGCCCATTACTGACCAAAGTGGTATTTGTCGTTTTTGCAATTCTTCTAAAACTAAATATTCTAACTCAAATAAATTTCCATCTTCAGCATCCGGAATTTCTTCTCGCATGAATATTGCGAGACGTATTAAATATTCCACATTGTGTCCAGTTGAACCAGAGCATTCCACAATTTGTGTTGCTATATTTTGTGGTGTATCTTCGCCTAGCCAATGCACATTAGTTGGAGTTGCGATGTACATTAACACTTCAATTGCCTCACCACTGAATGGAGTGTCATAAGAAGCAACACGGGGATAGAACTTTGTTTCAATAGTAGCGTAACCACCTGAAAGAAAATATAATTGTGGTTATTATGGAATTTATAATATTTATACAGTTATTGATTATTTTATTTATATATAAATCAATTATATACAAATATAATATAATAATTTCTTTATATATATTTTAGTATTATTTACCTAGGGTGCACTCCCTTTGTTTTAAATATTCCAAAGCAGTATTGCCAGAAATTTTGTATGCGCATCCCCAAGTAATACCCTGAAAATTAAATTAGATAAATTATTTAGATATTTCTAAATTGATATAATAAAATGGTATAAATAGCACAGTTTCTTTTTATTATTATATAGTTGATCACAATTTCTTTTATGATAATCTAATAAATATTCCTTTTCTTTGTATAATACTTCTAGGTTCGGTTGTCGTTGTTTGGAACAAACAAGAAGAGTGAGAAGAGTGTTGTTTATGATTTGTGGTGAAGTAAGTGAGCGAGTGTATCTTAGTTGATACTAGCCTGGGTGAAGAAATCTGAGCACTTCAATGAATCGGAGCTAAAGTCTAGGTCAGGTTATTTTAATCTGTCTGATTTTAAGCCACGTATAGACCTATTAAATTCTGTAGTGGGCATAATTTTTTATGAGGTAAGGAGTGGCCAAAGCTATATTCTTAAAACGAGGCCATCAAACATTTTTCAAAGATTTTTTGAAAGCGTGTTTTCAGACCTTAGTGAGATTTAAATCTAGCTTCTGTATGCCATAGTTCTAGTACATACCAATCACACCAAAACTATATTCCTAAGACGGAGCCATTAAACATTTACGAATATTTTTAAAAGCATGTTTTAAGAACTTGGTGATATTTGAATTCAGCTTCTGTGTGCCATAGTTCTAGTACATACCAATCATACCGACAATCGATCATAATATTGGTACTGACAACATGATACTTTCAGGTTTCTTTAATTTTGTCGTTAGGAGATTTAAAAGCCGTTTTCATTGTGAATTCACGGACATAGTCCCTTAGATAGTGGTCACTGCTATATTCCTACAATGAGGCTATCATCTATTTTTTTAGGATTTTGTTATTGATTTCGTAGTTCGAAGATTTATAAGCCGTTTAAATTATGAATTCATGGATATAGCTCATTAGCTAACTAATTATTTATTGATCGGCGCTAAAAATTGACATGAAAACTATCAATGATACTGTCAATTAAATCCACATTACCTAAATTACAAGTTTGCGATATTTTCAGCAAATAATTTTTATAGTTTTGAGACCATTCCGAGAGAATGAATAGTAGGGAGAAATATTAAAAAATTTCGATCATGATTTTTGTAGAAATTGTCTATATGTATATTTATGTACGACATGAATAGTGTATAAATATATTACTTACTTCTTTGTCCTCAATGAGTGTAGCGACACGTCCGGGCTGTAAGCAAAAAAAAACAATAATATATAAATTAATAAAATAAATAATAATAACATATTGTTTGTATACGTAAGTATGTAAATATTTATAATATATAAAGAATAATGGAATTAATAAAACAAAATTTTTTGTTTTCTTTCTTATTGCGGCCTTGACTTAAAAAGAATGACAGATATCTTCGCATTACTTTCGCTTCATGTAAAAAGGTCGTCTTTGTTGGCTCACGTTTATTTTGCAAAACAATAAAAATTTTATTCAATTTTTTGATGTACACATAAATTAATATATTATATAAAATAAATATATTAACGCAATTACTTAGACAACAATTTTTAAAAAATGTTCACCAAAAATTTAATTACATATAAAGCAAAGGATTTACATACCATTATTTCATATGTAAGAGTAATACTTATGCAAGGCCTATGCGGTTTTATAGTTATGAAGGCCCCAATAATATATATTGAATAAAATTGTTTATTTATTAATTGCTTTATTATTTCATTATAATTAATAAAAATAGATTTACAACCGTAGACACGTTTAAGTTTATATGTTAATAATAGTATTAATTATAGAATTTCAGAATGCAGACATATATTACACGTAAAGAAATGTCTTAATTACGTATGGAATAGGTTATTGCATTAATTTGAAATAAATTTAATTTGTAAATTATTGTTAATTGATTTAAGTTGCTAGTAATATTAACAAATCACGTCGTTAGTAATAAATTAATAATTTATCATGACATTGCAATAAATATGATAATAACAATTTATTTACTTGTGGATATCTAAACAACATTATACAATGTATTACATTAAGTTTTATTTAATTCTAAATAAAACTATATAATTTTGTAAGATATAGGATAAATAATTATATTACGAATATATAATTAATTAAAATATTATTAAATTTAATAACAATAAATCAATTAATAATAATACATAATTTAGCTGAAAGTTATATTAAATATTACACATTCAAAATACTAACCTTTTCTTCAGTACCGCGGTGTGTTGTATTCCCTTGCCAAAATCTCCTTGAATATCCGCGTATATATCCAGTTATACATTTGCTGAAGTCAAAGCCTGGAAACCAACAAAGAGATCCATACCCAAACACCCAAGCCACAGTCGTATCATCATTAGCATTAAGTTGATTTGATTGTATTGCTGCATCTTCGTCTGGATCTACGAAATTACCATTCCTAAAGAGTTCTATGAAATGATCGGGCAATTGGAAGTTGTGATTATTGTGCGCCATTTTTCACAGTGTACTTGTATCCTTTTTTAATTTAATAATTTAACAAAACGTTAATTTAAAATACTGCAATTGTTGTGCATATGAACTAAAAATTTTGACAAAACTATTGTTAGCTTTCCAATAATTTTGGATGTATATTCTTAGGTGATATATTGCAGATGGTTAGATGTTTACTACGTTTATGCTTGTAGTACCACGTCTGTGCGGGTTTTCGCAAATGCACGTCCTGATGAATATTTTGAGAATATCGCAATTGTTGTACTTGTGTTTTGCAAGACATCGATATTTTATTAGAATTTTAAAACAATTTCAAAATCGTTAAAAATGTTTTTCTCAAGCATTAAAACATATTGCATTTTGGGTGGTGTCTTCATATATTATCGTCCATTAGAATTGTTTTGTCAATATCTTCCCTACTTTGAAGTTATTGTTAGTGCCATTGAATCAACTAGAAAATATATATATGAAAAAAAATGTATTTTGATGTAGATAATAATATTTAGATTTTGACATAAAAAAGTGAATACTTAGATCTTAATAATATATATATATATATAAATGTAAAATTATGTAACGTGAATGTGTAAATCCCCTACATCATACATAATATAATGCAGAAACTTTACACAAATACCCAATATGCTAACATTCCGTAAAAGCACATTAGGCCCATAAGTGTATACATAATGATACTGGCCTCCGTATGCAGATAATATA